CCGTACCTGCTCTTATTGCCATCGCACCTTCACCTCACACACCGGCTTGGTCGGTTGCCTGCGAATCCTCCGCACAGAGACTGGCGAACCAGAGCCTGGAACGTCAACCTATAGTCGCCGCGTTCGCCTCCACTGTCCACACTGACTCCACACATTCACTCGCTGCATGGGCTTATTCGGCCACATGCGTATCCACGAGAGCGGAATTGTCCGCAGTCTCGACACACCTAGTACCTCCCTCACATCCACCATGCCCAGCCCACCGCACACCCCGTCGTCCAGCGCGTCCACATTCAGCAGCTCCACTACTGCCACATCCTCCGAAACCGACAATGACACCGCCGACTTTTCCACTCCATGCTGTCCCCGCACATTCCCCTCCCACATCGGACTGTTCGGTCATTGGCGAGTCCACCGCACAGAGACGGGCGAACCAGTGTCCGAGGCATTAACATTCACCAGACGCATTCGCCTCAACTGCCCTCCTCTGCACCCGCACATCCACTCACTGCATGGACCTATTAGGCCACGTGCGCATTCAAGAAAACCTGCAGTAAACAATCACCGGCTACGCCACCCGTCAGGTTTTTTCCCACCAACATCACGCAGCATCATAGTCCACTACAAGCAACCAATTGCCATCTCTCACGCAAATGGAAAATGTGCGTCTGGGCTCCGTCTCCATGCTGCTTCCTTGTTGCATGTGTGATTCGAGTCTGAGGCTATCACGACCCGTCAAGCATTGTGGCTTGGAAGGCTGTTGACTGACGCCCCAACTTAGTCTACGCAATCTGCCCAGTTTTGTGTGTATGTTTGTGTGGAGTGGCAGATTGGCGAGCTGAGGGCCGGGCTGAAATGGTCCCTTCCTAACATGACCTACGGCACTCATGCATGTGAGATGTACGCCACTCAACCGCCGTTGTGTTAACTCCTAGTGCTTGTGTTTGGGGGCCAGGCCGTGCATGTAGCGTGCAAAGACAAGGTTACTAAGTATGTCACTCACCGTGTCCGTTTTCCGCACCTGTAAACTGACCGGCTCGGACAGTGACCGAGGCCAGGGAATGGAAAGGGTGAGTAAGATCGACGACTCAGCGCATGTTCCTCACTATACACAATCTGACGCGCTTGAAGCTATCTTGGTGAGCTAAAAACCCTGGCTTGGAAGGTTGCCAACTAACAAACTATCTTGGACCTTGCAGTCGACCCAGTGTTGTGTGTTTTTGTGGAGTAGCCTGGCTGTTGGTCTAAGAGTCCGGCTGCAATGGCTCCTTCTTAATGCGGCCTTCATGTCACTCCCAGTCCGTGGGATCCGAGTCAGGTGTGACGGCACGCCCAAATGCGCTCCGGCCGTGTCAGCTGCCCTGGTCAAAAACCTGGCCATCTGCTGTGTGGACCGGGGGGTGTGGAGTGGAGCGCCAAGATGCGGACTCAACTGTGGCATCCACACGCACCCTTCCCCCGCCTCGGGTTTTTCATGACCATGTTTTGTGACCGGGTTCAGTTGGGGGGAGTAGAGGGCGGGGTAGATGCTATGAAAGTCCACATTTACTATTTACTAAATCACGCGCAAGTCTCCGTACTGCTCTCAATTTGCTGTGGAGCACACGGTGGACATTTTCGGCAAAGACGATCGAACTGACGTTGTTGTCTTAGCTCGAGAAGAACTTGGCGACATGCTGTCACATCTCTCTCTGATGTGATCGAATCCGCCGACCCTTGGAACCACCGTGTGACGGCCTCTTCAGGGTTATTTTTCATGGGAAGAAGAATTTCCGCATCCAACGCGGAGCTCGCAAGGAGGTCGTGGGCGTGGGTCGTCTTAAAGCTGTCGTCCCGGACACTTCTCCGGGTGAGCCCTGTGGTCCTCTGTCGCCTGCTCCACCTTCCCGACCTCCTCTCCCTCTGTTTCGTATACGCCATCATCCGGCATGCCTGCTAGCCCCAACATCAACTACCCCCTCATCAGCCTCCAACGCTGCAACCGCAAGCCATACTCAGTCGTAACCTGTGTCCGGTGTGTATATCATCCGCAGTGTACGTCATGTTTATTTTCCTGAGCGTTTGATTACTCATGTTTTTTAAATGTTAGCGATTCCTTCGACGACGTTACACGCCGCCCTCAGTCTGGCTGGAGGCACAGTGACAGTCCGCGCCTCCTTGCTCTCCGCTGCCTTAATACGCTGCCCTCCCGCCCTCCTCACGCTCCCTGTTGATCCGCTGCCTGGAGGCGCGAGGCTTGTCACTAGTCTCCCGAGTGCTCTAGGCCAATCAACGCTGCCCCTTCTCTGATTGATTGGCGGACACAGGCAGAGCGAAAGGCGCGCACACGCGCTGGGGTCTAGGCACCTCAACGGCGGACACAGACACAACTTATCCTGGAGAGGCCGCTCGCGGCGACTGCTTGCAGAGCCTTTGTGTACGTACCTCCTCAGCAGTAGAGGCCGTCCAACCCAATTTGTCTTCCCTGAATCCTGATTTGGGAACATCTGTCTTGCCGACCACATCACTTACGACAAATGCACATGTGTCCTAGTAGCCCATGTTTTGGCTGAATGTGCGGGGAAAGGCGCTGGAGGCGGATACGGAAACTGCGCGATGGAATTGCAATTAACCGACCAGTCCGATGTGTGAGGTGAATTTACGGGGACGGTGTTGGTAGAATAGATCGGACGTGTCAGGATCGGTTTTGATGATGATAGTGGTGGTGGTGGCGGCGGGATGGAGCTGTTGGTGATGGTCTCGCTGGGTGATTAAGTTTGGTTTGGGTGGATGTGACAGATGTGTTAGGAATGTCGGGACTGTGGTGAATTTCGCTGTCGTGAATACGCATGTGGCCGAATAGGCCCCTTCGGTGAGTGAAGTGCGTGGACAATGAGAGCAGTGGAGGCGGATGCAGTGAGTGTTGTTTGGTGTTCCAGGCACTGGTTCGCCAGTCTCTGTGCGATGGGTTGGTGAGTGACCGATCAAGCGACGAATGTTCGATCGCAATTAAAACAGGTATTGGTCGAGTCTACATCGCTAGAGGTGGGATGTTGGTGATTTTTGAGGTTG